CGGTGGAAAATGACAGTCAGTCGCGGTTCTGGGCACGGGCGAACAGGGCAGCCGCCCGGGGCGGCATTTGTGTCATGACTCATGGGGGCGGCACGAGCACTTCCAAAAAAATAAAATAAAAGATAGTAATAGTAATAAATCTGCACCGCAAAGCAGTTTCTATTAACTCTTGTTGTCAAATTGGCGCCCCCCTTCTGCTGTAGGCACCCCTGCTTGCTGCGAAGGTGCCGCACAGAGGCTGACAGACTGTATGAGACGAAACGGGGAGAGGGTCGCGGGGGACAGTTCAGCTCTCAGGATTGCTCTCACTCTGCCAGTCACGGTGGCTCAAGCAGAGAGGAGCTTCTCAAAACTGAAGTTGATTAAGTCGTACCTAAGGTCAAACATGTCTCAGGAACGGCTCACTGGCCTCATCGGCATCAATCACTTCACCCATTTAAACCGGGACAGTATGTACGCATATCAGCCTTCCAAGCCGAGAGCGCGGATACGTCATTTTTTAACATTCTGTAGTTTTTCAATCATTTCTGGAGTCGTGGTGAATCAAATCATTATACCTGTCTGCCTCTGATAGGCGAATAAAGCGCTCGGATTCATGCTCGGATGTTGCTACGTGCTTCAAGAGTAAAGTAAACGATGATGGAGGCAGAGAGCAGCTTTGGAGGAGAAACATCCTGCAGTGTGAACAACCTCTTCATATTGAGAGTTTTGGCTCATACTATCAGCGATTTCTGTGAGTGTTGCATGACTTTGGGTGAGCACAGACATGAACACACTTCAGCCACGTATTTATTTGGATGGGGTCTCGCCCGGGGAGTAAGGCCCCAACTACACGAATGCGGATATATTTCAAACCGCACATATTTATGTCCGATTCGGCCTCCCTACCACACCAAAACGGAAGTTTGGAACACTCAAACCGGATAAATCTGAATCCGAAAAAGAAAGTGGAGAAATAAAAAAATATCCGTATAAGTATTCGTGTGGTTGAACTTTTACGGATGGATGACGTCAAACCACAGCTCGCGCATGCGGATTAAAAAGAAAAACAACAACAACGATGGCGGACATACAGGGTATTCTTTACTTTTGTTTTGCCCTTTTGGGGCTAATTTCAGCCTTGCAAGTGAACCGTGTTTTATACAATTACATCCACCAGTCAGCCAGCTCACAGAGGCGTCTGCTTTGTTATAGCCGCCACACCGTCACATGGACCCGACGCACTAGCGTAGCTTCCGCAAACAATGCATGACGCATCACGCTGTTGAGATTCATCGGCCAATCAGGTAGCTTTATTTCTGAATTTTAGGAACCAGATAGGATAGAGTTTGAAGGCTACGTGTGGACGCAGATATTTTTGAGAACTAACACGTGTGGACAGATACATTTATTTAGACGGAAGTACAAAAATATCCTGATAAATAAATATCTATATACGTGTAGTCCGGGCCTAATTTAGTCTAGAACCGCCACTGATGACAGTAATTTACCCTTGTCTGTGTTTTGTTTTGTATTGGGACACAAACTATCTAGAAGTGATGTCTGAAGACTGTCAGTCAGTCAACAGATGTCAATTGTCCCAGTCCCTCTCACCTGAAATCTAATGAGCTACACAGACACAAAGACCTTGAAGAACCTCTTAGTTAAATTCAGAATAAAAACTTGTCAAATCCAGGTGCTTCAGTCTTCAGTCTGGGATCCTACAGCATTGGAGAGTTCTGAAAAACCTTGAATCATAATTTAAGTTTTTAAAAGACTGGCCTGTGTAATCACACCAACACAGGCTTTAACTAGCTGTAAACTTTGATGACATGCCATCACCATCCTCCCAGTTTCTCTCTCCCCATTGTCTGTTTGTCTGATGAAGTAGCAAACTCGTCAAAAACATGTGCATTAAAAAGCAATCCAGCCTCTGCAGAATCCAGATGGTCTCTTATTTTCTGTTTGGGATTATTGGTTTTAAACAGTGATTGTTGTTTGCCTTCTCCAAAGTGCATGATTAAACTACAGCATCGTACAGGGTGCCGTTTGGCTGAGCAGGAGGCCTTTATCATTGTGCTTCTCGTCCCGCTTCAACAGCGGCTGCCAGCTCTCATACTGTGCCAGGGGCTGCAGAGCTTTGATGGGCCACTAAACAGGCCGAGGGAAATATGGGAAATACGGGACAACACCCATTACTGAATTTTTGGGACACATTAAAAGAAAGCTGTGGATATTTTTAGGTTGTCAGTGCTGGAGAAACATTAAGGTTCAGAAACAGACACTTTACCACAGAAAACGTGAGACTGCATGGCTGTCAGTGCTAATCTGACCACAGTTTAAGCTGCAAAAGTACGAGTTTGAACGGCTCAATGTGGCATAAGCTTCCTCTTAATACTTCAACACTAGTAGAACCAAGTGTCATCATGTTATCAGCTCTCCTTTCATTAACCCACTCTAAGCCAAGAGTGTCAGACTCATTTTAGCTCATGGCCACATGGAGGAAAATCCTCCCAAGTGGGCCAGACCGCTAATATTATTGCACATTCACTTAAAGATAACAATGACTTGAGATTGTTTTCTTTGTTATATTTTGGTCTAAAATACTACAAGCATATCCTGAAAATGTATGCATCATAAATTATCCTCTTGACAAAACACTTCAAATTAGTTGAAAAATCTTGAAAAAAATGATGCAATTTCAGAACTTACACTTGGTCTGAAGTGACCGACATTATTGCAGTAAATCCCTCACTTCTTACTTTCTGTAAATCTCCACAGAACACATTCATTTTCACATAACTGTATCAGGGTGCAGTGTCTCATGCATTATCTTCAGTGGGGTTGCCCACTCCTGAGACCTGGCATCTTTTTGCTTTCACAAGTGCATCAGTACCAGGTGTCACATCCTGAGTGGCAGCAAATTCAGGATGTCATTGAAGTGCTTGTGTGTGAGCCTTGAGCCCAGCTTTGTTTTATTAATGCTTAATACAGAAAAAATTTGCTCACAAGATATGTGGTTCAAACAACACTTTTGCAGCAAGGGCTGTCAAGTTTGGGTAACCTGGCAGGAGATAATGATCAAATGTGTCCAAGCCAGCTGTGGCAAATGTGCCCTTCAAATCTGAGTCACACTGCGGGCTCTATTTTCGTTCGCGCCGGTGAGGCGGCGGAGGGCGGCGAGCCCCGCGCAGTTGTATTTTCGTCTGGCGGAGCCCGGTGTAAGGCGAGTTTGGTATTTTCGTGGACTGAGTCGCACGGAGGCGAGCCGAGATCCGCCAAGCTGGGCGTGGTGGCGTGGCAGGGGGAGGTATTGACAGAATCAGCTGGCGCAGTGACATTTTCGTGCTCGCCAACGGCGTGTAACGTGCGCTGAAAGCTCGCCGATTCAAACCTGGTCAGCTTTCAGCGCAAGGCGGAACGTAGCTGGTCCAGTAGTATTTTGGTAGACCGGCGGCGTATCGACATACGTCACTGATGCCTCACCGGCAGGTTTCCACAGTGTCAGGCAGATTTCAGTGCATTAAATAATGATCACAACTATTAATCTGAGTCAGCACATACATTTAGATCTATATCGATATATTCTGATCTATATCTGATCTGATGAGCGCGTTTGGCACGCGTTTGGACACACAACCTGACCGAATCAATACAGCTGAAACTGCATCAAATTAAATTAAATATCTAGTAAATAAACGCACATGATGAAGTTAACAAGATATGTAATGTGTCTCCCTCCTTTTCTTTCTTCCTCTTATTTCTCGCACAGCTCGACCTGGACACGTCTCCGTGTCCTCTGTCCGTCTTCCTGCTGCTGCTGCGGCTGAACAGATGATTTGTTTCAGTGCTCAGATGCGTTATCTACTTTAAGCCGACATACGGATATTATAATATTCAGTTTTGTGAGCCAAATTTATTTTATATGCCAACATCTATGAAAGAAAGAGCCAGGCCACGGAGCGCGATGCGTCATTTACGCACAGATGGTTCCGATTTTAATGCCTTTTTGGAGTTTATGTTGTGATCTGTGCGCTCAACCCACCTTTGTCACGTGAGGTTTGAATATATGCAACTTTATGTGAGTGTCTTTATTTGTGGAAAAGGGTGTTTGTCTTACCAGTGGGTCCAACATTACGCACACCAAATCCATCTGTGCTCAGATGAGAGAGTGTGGAGGACACTTGTTGAGCAGCTGCCCTCTGTCGCCATCGTGTGGCATAACTGTCTTCAGACATCTCTTGATCTCTTTGACAACTTCATGAAAATAGTAATACGCCTCGCCAGTGGCGGATTTAAAGGCGAGGAGAGGAGCTAATGTGATTGGTGAAAACAGGTCTCGGCTGTGTTAAACCCCCTCTCCTCCCCGTCTATGATTTATGCTGCCGGGAGGAGCTGAGTTAGGGAGGGGGGATACTTACGCCGGGCTGCGCGGCTCACCAAAATACCAAAATGTGCTTGGGAACGCCTTGTCAGCGCGGCGGATCTGATTGACGCTGCGCTTGCGGCAGATCTCCGGTGATGCACCAAAATAGAGCCCTGCAAGTCTATTACTTTAAGTTGGATGTTGACAGGCAGTTCAGAGGTATCATAGTGAATGGTGAGCAAAAACCTTTGAAGTCTTTTTTCAGTTCACCCAATATCTTAAAGCATTGATTAAACTACCACAGTAGTTCTGTTGTGAGCAGCATCACCACTCAAGGGTTGTATCTCCCACAATGATAGCTTTAATTTGAACGCACTTATACAGTCATAATACTGTGGGACAACTTTGTTGCCCTCTTACAGCATTTTTTTTGCCCTTTTTGTCTATGAACTGTTCAGTTTGCTCTTGTAAATCAAAGACACACCTCAGCACAGCACCTCGGCTTAACCATCTCGCCATAGTTGTGGTCTTTCTCTCTGAATAGGCTGGCAAACCGATGGTGATCCAAGCATCTGGATCGAACAAAAATAACAGTTTGAACGACCACCTACATGACCATCTTTCATGACTCAATGTCTCCTGATGCAAAATACAGTTAAGTCCAAAAATCGTGTCCTCCATTTGCAGTCTGTACTTTCTCTCTGAATTTGCCTTTTTCCCGATCATTTATGGCGTGGGACCAGTCCACTCCGACCCTGTCCAGCACTCCATCGAGGGTGGTGAAAGTATCAGCTGCTGTTGTTATGTCCTTCATTGGCACTAACTCCACAAACTCCTCAGTGACGGTCAACGTGTCATCAACTCCGCGGATGACTATGGCCAGGTGCACAACCTATTGAATATTCAGTAAATGACTTTACTTTGTGCTTCAATTTGCTGTCCAAATCCCCAGAGAGATCAGAAATCCTGTCTGCAACTGTGTTTCCTGTCAGATTGATATTTGCAAAAGCCTGAGGACTTTTAGAGCACACAATCTCTGCAGCCTTCAGCATGCCTGTCTTCACAAATTTACTCTCACTTCATAGTTTTGAAGCCAGTCCAGTTTCATCAGCTGTAAGGTAGCTGGCTCTTACTGCAGCATCACTGATTTCTTGGCCATGAGTAACCACAGACTGATGTTTCTGGATTCAGTTTCTATCTGGTCTCCTCTTTGCGTGGTTCACTTTTAACCCCATTTGTGGATGCAGTCATGAACGGTGTTCCCAGACAAACGTTTTTGACAAAGTAATTTTGAGTCCATTTAGTGATTTCTACCACAGAGTCCTGTCTGTTTTTAATGCATCAGTGTATTTACTTGTGAGAATAGCTTACTTAGCACGCATATGACTGTGTCGTGTTGTGAATCACATCTGCAGAGAACCTACAACACACCTGTGATTATGGAAGAGGAGACACAGAGAGGAGGTGTTCCTACATGTCAGGTCAGTCTGTTAACATCACACTGTGAGGATCTGTTGAGTTTAAAATAACTTACCTAACTAACTTGTGATGATCAAACTTCCTCACTCACTTTTCTCTAGCGGAATCTTTTTTTTTTTACTACTGTCTCAGAGTCACAGACAAGTTTCATCCCCCAGCTCAGGTGGCTGCATACTATCGCAATCAGTTAGTCCTTCATTTTCCACGAATGGATCTCTGCCAGTCTGTTGTTGACATATGTCACTGGGGTATCTCCATGCTGATTGGTTATCGAGACTCGAACATTCGCTAGAGTTGAGATGTTTTCAACTCTCTGGAATTCGCCTCGTTCACACCACCCAAGTAAAAGGGGCATCTAATCGTGTCTTTGCATTGATTTAACATGTGATTCTATCATTGCTAATGATTTTACTCGCACTATGTGTGAATGCACCATTATGGTGACTATCCTCAGTATCCTGACTTTCACTTATGATAATATGAATGATGTAAACTGTGGTATGAGAATGAACTGCAGCTTCCTGTGAATAAGAGAGCGGTTAAGTTGGTCTCTTGCCCTCTGATCAGTATCTCTCTTACAAGTGGCGTCCGATGTAAACAATGGCATCTGTGCTGTGACTGGATTATACATCCTTCATGCTGAAATGAAATAACATAATGAGTGAAGATGTGCTGGCTCTATTTATTCCTGCAACAAGAAGTGATTACTTCTGGAGGCCATTCAAGTCAATGACAATCCTACAGAGTGAGCACAGAGTGTTTACAGACAGGAGCTCCCTGAGGTCCAGGAGTGTGTCCTGCACTCTGTATGGAGTTTAAATTCAATAAAAACAAAAACAGGTTTTTGACTGTAGGAGCATATGTTAAATAAAAGACTCAAACACACTAGATCGCACCAGAACAGATTCACTTTGTTTAGGGGAGCAAACTCTTGCTGACACCATTTCACACAGAGCCAGGGGGCCTCACATGAACTGCTGAGTCATATTTTTGTATCAACCACACTCCAATTGAAATTTGTTTCAATATCCAAACCAAATGTTGTGTTTTCGAAACTGCAGAGCTCGGTTTTATTTTCAAACAGGGCTTCTGTGTTGAACATGTTTGGATCGAGGACACGCTCCACTTTCGGCCTTCAGACATTGAAAGAGTGAATCTCAGAGAGGATGTGATCATAAAATATTGAAACAATAGTTTTTCCTTCCATCTTACTTATTATTGTTTATCTAACCTTCCCTATGAGTGCATGCAGTCATGACCTGCTGACAGCCAACAGACTGACAGCCTTTACTGCAGCAACAACACTATCAGCAGGGCAGTAATCAGCAGAAACCTGCTCTGACTCTTTGAACCACAACTTTGTTCCAGCTTGTACAACAGTCTTTGTTTCACTGGTTCTTTGGTGTTGTCATGTTATCAGTCAATTGTCTCAGGCACTGTACCGTGTTATTTAGAGACAATGAAGCTTCTGCTTTCTCAAACATCAAGCACTGACACCCAGAACAACTGAAATACAGAGAGAGCTTTGATAAGACAGCAGGAATTAAAGGCCCAAACAACAAGGCAGAGTTTGGTGCAGAAAAGACACAACAGCCAGAGCTTTATGTCAGCACACATTTATATTCATAGCTCTGATATGAGACGGCTCCTATTGTTCCATGAATAAACTTCTCTCCTTCGCTCTTGCATGTTATTATCAGCGGTGGCACAGGCCTGGCAATTTGTAATTCATTGGACTTCCTGTGTGAACCTGCCAACAGAGCTCAGAGACAAAGAGGAAGAGCAAATGAAGGACCAGGTGCAGCCCTTTGATTGGACCAGCCACAGAGCCAGGTTCCTGCAGAGTAGGTCCTAAGTGCTGAGCCCCCATCAAGAGAAACTCCTCCAAGTAATCATCAGGTCCTGGTCCTGATTCTCATGTTTCACTAGAGCAGGTAGCAAAAATTTCCTCAGATAATAACAGAAAAGTGGAGTGTGACAACAGAGAAGTACATCAAACCTCAGAAAAACAAGGGACTGGTTTAGCGTGCTACAGCAGAAAGGGAGGAATAAGGAGGTGGTCCATCCATCTGTCCAAATGTCCCTTAGGTCTCAGTGACGGCTCAGGCTTCAATGCAAGAAAAAAAATAAGGATTTTTGGCTTCACTCTCTACTGTGTTATCAGGGCCGAAAAATTTCTGCGGGAAGAGAAGTTTTCTACTTCCTGTAAAGCCCTGCAGTCACACAACTCCCAAACCATCATCTAAACGTGATCCAGAGACTTCTCTGGACCTGAGCCCAATTAAGGTGGACTGGGGCGAGGGGGGGCATTGAAATGCCATGTGTGAAAGAATCATTGAAAGTTTAATGGCCCTCATTTATCAAGCTTGCGCAGATCTGAGCACAGATCTGAACGAAGGATTCATCCTATGATAGAAAATACGTGAGATTTATGAACGGGTTCGTATCTGACCAATCCCAGCGTATGTATGATCGGATCTTGATAAATGCGGTGGCTGAAATCGATCGTCATTAACATGTTTACGCCCTTAAATATTCGTGGTTCGGAAGCCTCACCCACTGAGGTCAAACATGAAAGAGAAGAAATATTAGAGAGATTTGAAACTTTTTTGAGCTGAAAGTGGATATTCTCACATCTGTTGTGGAAACTTACAAGGATTTTCTCTTTGGAAGCATTAAACCTGGTCTAAAGACAGTCCAGAAAACTGAAACTTTTTCGAGCTGAAAGTGGATGTTCTTACATCTGTGGTGGAAACTAACAATGATTTCTCTTTGGAAGCATTAAACCTGGTCTAAAGGCAGTCCAGAAAACTCCTGTCTGGAGCAGGACTATGGTGGCGGTGAACAGCGCTGCCACGGAATAGCGGACAGTGGCTGAAGTTTAAATAAATCATTAGTCAATAAGTTGCCCATGATGCTCATATTTTTTTTAATAGGTATGACATAGGGTACGTTTCTCCTATTATTGAAAGTATTTAGTTTTAATTTGTTGCGTCTTTGTAATGTAGAGCAGACTGGAGAATCTGACAGAGGCTGAACAAAAATAGTTATTAACCTCACCAAATGGTGTGTTGCTGCCCCTGAGGCACATTTTTATGGATTTCTATTGGATTTTTATCACTGAATAAATAGTCACGTCAAAATTTTCATACGCAAGGTCTATGCAAGTTTTCTGCCGTACGCAAGCTTGATAAATGAGGGCCAATGTGTATGAGTTCATGTATGAGTTAAGAGTTCATTGAAAACCAGGTTGCTGTTGATAATGGTGGCTGTGGTGTTTCAGAAATATCACAACCTGGAGGGCATTTTTAAAAGTCACCATTTGAGGTCGGCCAAAATGCCATTTCCACTATCACGAAAAAACAAACTTTGTAATATGGAGATAACGAGATCATAAGTCGTTATCATGAGATAACAGTGCATTAAAAAAAGAAAAATCTATGGCTGTTCTCGTCTTCCATAGATTTTAAATAGTCTTAATCTCTTTTTTCATTTCCAATGTATTTCCTTTTATCTGGAAAGCACTATGAATTGCCTTGTGTATGAATGGTGCTATACAAATCAAGTCGCCTTGCTTTGCCTTTTATTTGCAGAGGGGGTTTCTGTGTGCTGCACATGATTTTTACTGAGTACCTGGTTGTGACGTTGTCCATCTGGACCTTGATTCACAGGTTTAAATGAATTAAATAGTTTTAGTCAAAAAAACAAACACACACACAAAAAAAAAAACGCTGAAAAGCTCAAACTTTTTTCCATTTCCCGTTCCAATCCTTGTTGTCCTTCGCTGAACATCCTCTTTAGAACTGGTTGCAGCTGCACTCACCTTCCCCGCCCTGCTTTGTCCTCTCCTCTACTCTGAGATTTAAGTCTGTGTTTACCCACAGGGACCTGTAAAAGACACCGGGAGGCTAAATGAAGCTCTTATGTTGCTGCTCGGCTGCTGACTGACAGGTACACACTGCTCCACAGCTGTTGCTGCTGCTTGTGTTCAGTGCCAGGCAAGATGTGCTCGGCCCGTTTGGTGGCGCAAAACGAACACAGCAAACGACACTTGCCATCTGTCCCCAACATCATCTGGAACATGTGCATCTGTCTTCGCTCATCCCAGACTGAAAATGAGACATGCTACAAGGACATGGTACCTGTCATTATACTGTCCCCTTCAGCTAGACCCGACCTCTGCATCTGTACAGTGTAGAGTCACAGAGGAGATGAACACGTGAATGATTTTAAACAGCCAGGGCACAGAGAGGAAGAGAGTTCAAACGTTTGCTTGGCATTACTTTTCCCAAAGACGCAGCTTTTTTTATGAGGCTCTGTCCTTTCTCAAATAAAGTTAAGGACAAAAAAGTTACAAATAAATGTTTTTGTAAGTGAGAAATTGTGCAGATGTTTTCTTTTTGTTTTCTTGAAAAAACCTCTTACTGCAAAGTCAAGACCAAACTGTATTTAAAGAAGAGCTGTAAAGCAATAAACCAGAACTTAAGATATACACTCACCGGCCACTTTATTAGGTACACCATGCTAGTAACGGGTTGGACCCCCTTTTGCCTTCAGAACTGCCTCAATTCTTCGTGGCATAGATTCAACAAGGTGCTGGAAGCATTCCTCAGAGAGCTTGGTCCATATTGACATGATGGCATCACACAGTTGCCGCAGATTTGTCGGCTGCACATCCATGATGCGAATCTCCCGTTCCACCACATCCCAAAGATGCTCTATTGGATTGAGATCTGGTGACTGTGGAGGCCATTTGAGTACAGTGAACTCATTGTCATGTTCAAGAAACCAGTCTGAGATGATTCTAGCTTTATGACATGGCGCATTATCCTGCTGAAAGTAGCCATCAGAAGTTGGGTACATTGTGGTCATAAAGGGATGGACATGGTCAGCAACAATACTCAGGTAGGCTGTGGCGTTGCAACGATGCTCAATTGGTACCAAGGGGCCCAAAGAGTGCCAGGAAAATATTCCCCACACCATGACACCACCACCACCAGCCTGAACCGTTGATACAAGGCAGGATGGATCCATGCTTTCATGTTGTTGACACCAAATTCTGACCCTACCATCCGAATGTTGCAGCAGAAATCGAGACTCATCAGACCAGGCAACGTTTTTCCAATCTTCTATTGTCCAATTTCGATGAGCTTGTGCAAATTGTAGCCTCAGTTTCCTGTTCTTAGCTGAAAGGAGTGGCACCCGGTGTGGTCTTCTGCTGCTGTAGCCCATCTGCCTCAAAGTTCGACGTACTGTGCGTTCAGAGATGCTCTTCTGCCTACCTTGGTTGTAACGGGTGGTTATTTGAGTCACTGTTGCCTTTCTATCAGCTCGAACCAGTCTGGCCATTCTCCTCTGACCTCTGACATCAACAAGGCATTTCCGCCCACAGAACTGCCGCTCACTGGATATTTTTTCTTTTTCGGACCATTCTTTGTAAACCCTAGAGATGGTTGTGCGTGAAAATCCCAGTAGATCAGCAGTTTCTGAAATACTCAGACCAGCCCTTCTGGCACCAACAACCATGCCACGTTCAAAGTCACTCAAATCACCTTTCTTCCCCATACTGATGCTCGGTTTGAACTGCAGGAGATTGTCTTGACCATGTCTACATGCCTAAATGCACTAAGTTGCTGCCATGTGATTGGCTGATTAGAAATTAAGTGTTAACGAGCAGTTGGACAGGTGTACCTAATAAAGTGGCCGGTGAGTGTATAACACTGATATCAGACTGGAGAGAAGCATGATCCTGTTGGTTCATGGTCATGGTCCTTTTACAGGGGTTACCTTTCATAGACAGATGATGGACGACAAAGAATAGCAAACGATGGGTGAGCAGTAGAATCCCCCTCCCCTCCCTCTTTACACCAACATCATTATAAAAACTGCAACAAAAAAATCTTGAACTCATGGCTAATCGTTTTGTTTCCTATAAAAAAGCATTAACATGAATTTCACTCCATTTAATGACAGTAAAAAACTCCTCACAGGCGCTGCAAGAGTTAATTTAGTCTGTTAAGCTTCCTAAATGTGGGGACCTGCAGTTTGTGTCATAAACAGCAGGTGGAGCATTCATTCATGAATTCATGAAAATAAATACAGGAAATCACAAAGTGTTGTACACTTGCAGGAATTAAATTGTGATTTTAGGAGACCTCCATAATCAGCTCAGGAGGATAAAGTGAAGTTGAAGCAACTGCTGTAGTGTTAGAGGCATTTACAGACTGTAGGCCTGCTGTACATGACATCCTTAAATACCTACACAATTTGATCAAATTCAGCATTAGGTTTTAGGTTTTTTATGAAACACTGATTTAAGTTTGAGTTCATACGATGCTCTGCATTCACCAGTTCAGTTATTTTACAGAATAAAATACAGAGTAAAATCATTTAATATCTGTTGTCTCTTCATAACTTTGCAAGTTCATGATCCTATTTTGACAGCTTTTATCTTGAATTCCCTTTTTTTTTTCCAATTGGGTGGTCCTAAACTCTGTCTCTCACAGCATAGCAGATAGCACTGGTGAACATCTGGTGGGTCCTAAAGCTGGCACAGTCAATGCTATGCGAGGTCAGTTGAACCTTAGAACAAGCAGGTGCCCTTGAGTGTTGGTAATTCAGATTTCACATGAATCCAGACTGTAAACCTGTTTTCTTTGAGTGTGTGTACAGGAGAGGTATGACCTTGAGGCTTTACCCCACAGAGTTATGTTGGTCCTGCAGTTAATAGAACAGAGTTTCCATCAGCTTCTGTCTGGAGGAAGAATATTAATCTCTGACCCATCTCATGTCATAGCTCAGAGCCATAAAGACAACAGGACTTGTGTCCAGCTTCAGCTTGTGCTGAAGCTGTCGCTCTTTACCTGCAGCTCTCTGCAGCTTCATTTTGTGATGGGGCTGAATGATGCCACACTGATGGATCACTCGCAGTGCGGCATTGGCTTCTGTCATGAGCTTAAATGAAAAAGCAAATTTTGATTTTCCGTGTGAAAGGACAAGCAGTAGCTGTCTGACAAATTAATGTGAGCACTGGAGGGAGGTGTGCAGGTTTTATACCAGAATGAATGCTGCAGGAAGAGACACGGTGAGTGTGGCTGATCCTAAAGGGGGATGGGGGTGTAACGCTGTGAAAAGGTGTCTTTTATTCACTTCTTAATCAAAGGAATAAAGGTTAAAAGGGAGGTTTATTTTGTTTTATTTTCACCCGAGGTGACCTGATAAAAGATTAACAAATTTACTCAGAGACTGTAGAAAGAAGTTTTCCGTAGAACTGCAAATTTACTCTAAACTCATCAGATTCAGACTCTTTCATCAGCACCAAACTAACTCATCTGTAAACTGCTGATGGTGAAATTGGTGTGACTTTCTCTGGTGCAGTTCATCAAAATGTAAATTAAAAAAAAAGGATTGCATGAATTTCCTGCCTGAATGATCATATTTCACCACAGACCCAGAGACGAGTGTTTTTTGCTTTGGTGATATATGAAGGATTCCGGTAGTCACTTTTTTAAATGTATTTTTTTTATTCCACGCTTTGTTGGGTTATAAACTCATGGAGCCTCCCTCTTTTTTTTCTTTTTAATAAACTTTAATTGTAAATTTTCAGATTTCTTCAAACACAACAGACAAGGAGACAAGAACGAATACCCCCCCACCCCCCCCACCCCATCATGATTGATTCCACATTTAACAACACAATGCAAACCAACGCTGCCGAGTAGGTGAGGATGGACTCAATGATGGCCGTGTAAAACTGAGTCATCATGGTCCTCGATAGTCTGTACTTCCTCAGCTGCCTTAGGAAAAACAGTCTCTGCTGGGCTTTTTTCAAAAGAGACATGATGTTCATTTCCGACTTCAGGTCCTGGGAGATGGTGACGCCCAGGACCTTAAAGGACTCCACAGAGTTTACCAGGGTGCCTCCCAGCATGATGGGAGGGGGAGGGCTGTGTTCTTGTGGAAATTCACCACCATCTCCACTGTCTTTTGGGGATTAAGGTCCAGGTTGTTGCTACTGCACCAGCTGCGCAGCCGCTCGATCTCCCTCCTGTAGGCCGACTCGTCCCCCTCGGAGATGAGGCCCATCAAGGTGGTGTCGTCGGCAAACTTGAGGAGCTTGACAGACGGGTGGAGAGAGACACGGGTTGGTGTACAGGGAAAACAGTAGCGGGGACAGGACACAGCCCTGCAGGGAACCGGTACTGGTGGACCTGGAGCTGGAAATGCTTTTCCCCGGCTTCACCCACTGAGACCTGTTGGTCAAAAAGTCTGTAATCCACTTGCAGGTGGAGGCAGGCACTTGCAGCAGGGGCAGCTGGTGCTCCAGGATGGATGGTAGGATGGTGTTGAAGGCCGAACTGAAGTCGACGAACAGGATCCTGGCATAGTTGCCGACAGTGTCCAGATGGTTTAAGATGAAGTGCAGAGCCATGTTCACGGCGTCCTCCGTGGATCTATTGGCTCTGTGCGCAAACTACAACGGGTCCAGCACAGGATCAGTGATGTGCTTCAGGTGAGCCAGGACAAGGCGCTCCATGACCTTCATGACCACAGAGGTCAGGGCGACAGGTCTATAGTCATGTGGACGGGGATGATGGTTGAGGCCTTAAAACATGCTGGGACATGACACAGCTCCAGAGAGGTGTTGAAGATGTTGGTGAACACCGGGGCGAGCTGGTCAGCACAGTGCTTCAGGACAGAGGGGGAGACAGAATCCAGGCCGGGCGCCTTCCGGGGGTTCTGGCTCCTGAGCAGCAGATTCACCTCTCTCACTGTGACAGAGAGAAGGGGTGTAGGGGGCAAGGAGGGGGGCCCACTTAGATAAGGGCATAGTGATTGTAATTGTGGCCAGGGGGGTTGGAGGGAGGGGGCGAGGGGGACCTCTCTCTCAAATCTGCAGTAGAACTCATTGAGCTCATTCGCAAGGGGGAGGTTGTCAGACGCTTGTGGCGACTTCGGCTTGTAGTTGGTGATGGACTTAAGGCCTTTCCAGACTGAGGAGGAGTTCCCCTCAGAGAGCTGCTGCCTTAGTTTCTCTGAGAAGTGATGTTTCGCCTCCCTCACCGTTTTGGCAAACCTGTACTTGGCCTGCCTGAACAGAGCCCATATCTCCACTGCGCCTCGCCAACTCCTTCTCGGACCTGAGCCTCCTGAGATGGGCTGAAAACCAGGGTTTGTCGTTGTTGTAGATCTTCCTGGAGCGCAGAGGAACACACACCTCCTCACCGAGGCTGATGAATGATGTTACAGTGTCCGTGTATTCATCCAGGCTGTTTCCAGCCTTAGGCCCCACCCATTCAACAAAGTCCTGGTCACAGCCTGCATTCTCCAGCCAGGCACAAAGTCTCTCCTTTGCCTCACTGGACCACACTCTGAAGCCCCGCACTACATGTTTTGATAATTTTAATCTCTGCCTGTAGCGAGGGATCAGATGGATGAGATGGTGATCTCCTTTGCCCAGCGCAGCACGGGGGACAGAAAGGTATGCCTGCCGTGTAGTGCAATAGCAGTGGTCAAGAGTGTTCCCACCCCTAGTAGTGCATGTGACTTGCTGTCTGTATTTGGGGAGAGCCCGGCTAAGGTGCGCCTGGTTAAAGTCCCCAAGCACCACAGAAAAACTGTCCGGGTGTTTATGTTCCGCCCCCGACAGCTGTTCGGCCAGTGTGTCCACTGCTGCAGTGACATTAGCATCTGGAGGAATGTAAACACACACGAGGATGAACACACGGAACTCATGGGGGGAACAGAATGGGCGACAGAGAATGAAGAGCAATTCAATGTTTATAGAACAGTGTTGTTGCAACACTGTCATGTCAGAACACCAGCGATCGTTCACAAAAAACATTAATCCACTTCCACGTGACTTTCCTACCGCCTCAAAGTCTCTGTCGGCACGGAACGCGGAGAAGCCCTCCAACTGTACTGCCCCGTCACGGTCTATCAGCTTCAGATGTCTCTCCACGAAGGTGAAAACAGCGGTGGATTGGAAGTCATTATCCCTTGAGACTAGTAGCCGGAGTTCATCCATTTTATTAGGCAGGGAATTCACGTTACACAGGAATATACCGGGGAGTGATGGACACGATCCTCTCGGCCGTAGTCGAACCAAACAACCTCCTCTCTTCCCCCGTTGTCTTCTGGTCCAACGCACAGCACTGGCAAAGAGCGCTGTCCCTCTCACCAGAATATCCAATTTATCCCTGGAACGGGTGAGTAATGTTGGTAATATGTGTGGTGGGGTAGAACACCCAATGTGCAGTAGCTCTTCTCTAGTGTAAGAAGGCTCACAGGACACGTAAACAATACACAGACAGAACACAACACACGTCGACACCATAGCAGCCATGGGCGGCGCCATCTTAGAATGTCAGATCTTCAACCAACCTCTTGCTTCTTGCATTACTTCCTCAAGCAGAGCATCTCCAGACACCCATCTCCTGCAACATCTCCGAAATGTCTGTGTGGGTCTTACCAGCTTTGAACAACTGCTTAATAACATCTGCGTGTTGTTCTAGTGCGGAATATTTATATCGCCTTCTCGATCTCTGTGAACAGGTTTCAAGATCCGTGCGGTTAAAGACTGGCCTCCCTGAGAAAAAAGTCAACAGCTTCCGGGTCACAACACATCGAAAATGATACAAACCAGAAACGAATAGAACAAAAGTCCCATGATAATTCCATTCTCTCATATTCTATTTTTAATTTCAAAACAAAATCAAAACAGCGAAAAATAGGCCGTTATTTGTTTTCCGATTTTTGATTTGAAAAGGAGAAATGAAATAAGTCGTTATCCGTTTTTGGATTCTAAAACGGATATGGAATGAACGAATGATACACTGATAATTTATGAATCTAATATGAGCTTTGTTGTTTTAGGAACATTATGAACAGTGAACATACCAGTTTAAACACAAATAAAAGTTCATAAAAGACACGTAACAGTAAAAGTTTTGGTGTGAATCACAATATAAGGGGGGACATGAGCTGCTTGTCGGAGGTCTGTGCTCTCCGAGTGCTTTTCTAGACGTCCATATGTTCATACAGCATTTTTCTGATGCTACAGGACATATCATGGAAAAGTAGGAGCAAAATTGTTTTCCTAAGTACTTCTTCATTCAAATCTCTGTGAACCTCTCACAGACCCAAAAGGCAGATTCAGACACAGTAGGATTCCCTATGTCACAATTCCAAGCTCCACCCTCAGCACTGTGCTCTGCAGGCCAGACTCTGAGAAGTAGAGAGGACAATCGTGGAACAAGTGTGTGCAGTTGTGGATTGCAATGCTTTTAGCTTTCATCATGCCCCCTGTTTGAATGACCCTTGTGAGCGGCTGGATGTTGCAGTACCCATAAATGAACAGAGGTCAGGCAGTTGCTGGGGTGCACCAAACATTTCGGGCTCTATTTTCGTGCGCGCCGGTGAGGCGGCGGAGGGCGGCGAGCCCCGCGCAGTTGTATTTTCGTCTGGCGGAGCCCGGCGTAAGGCCAATTTGGTATTTTCGTGGCATGAGCCGCACGGAGGCGAGCCGAGATCCGCCAAGCTGGGCGTGGTGGTGTGGCAGGGGGAGGTGTCGACAGCATCAGCAGGCGCAGTGACATTTCCGTGCTCGCCAACGGCGTGTAAAGTGCGCTGAAAGCTCGCCGATTCAAACCTGGTCAGCTTTCAGCGCAAGGCGGAACGCAGCTGGTCTAGTAGTATTTTGGTAGACCGGCGGCGTATCGACATACGTCACTGATGCCTCACCGGCAGGTTTCCACAGTGTCAGGCACATTTCAGTGCAATAAATAATCATCATCAACTATTAATCTGAGTCAGCACATATATTTAGATCTATATCGATATATTCTGATCTATATCTGATCTGATGAGCGCGTTTGGCACACGTTTGGACACACAACCTGACCGAATCAACACAGCTGAAACCGCATCAAATTAAATTAAATATCTAGTAAATAAACCCACATGATGAAGTTAACAAGATCTGTAATTCGTCTCCCTCCTTTTCTTTCTTCCTCTTCCTCTTATTTCTCGCACAGCTCGACCTGGACACGTCTCGGTGTCCTCTGTCCGTCTTGCTGCTGCTGCAGCTGAACAGATGATTTGTTTCAGTGCTCAGATGCGTTATCTACTTTAAGCCGACATACGGATATTATAATATTCAGTTTTGTGGGCCAAATTTATTTTATATGCCAACATCTATGAAAGAAAGAGCCAGGCCACGGCGCGCGATGCGTCATTTACACACAGATGGTTCCGATTTTAATGCCATTTTTGGAGTTTATGGTGTGATCTGTGCGCTCAACCCACCTTTGTCACGTGAGGTTTGAAAATGAGCAACTTTATGTGAGTGTCTTTATTTGTGGAAAAGGGTGTTTGTCTTACCAGTGGGTCCAACATTACGCACACTAAATCCATCTGTGCTTATATGAGAGGGTGTGGAGGACACTTGTTGAGGAGCTGCCCTCTGTCGCCATCTTGTGGCATTACTGTCTTAAGACATCTCTTGATCTCTTTGACTACTTCATGAAAATAGTAATACGCCTCGCCTGTGGCGGATCTAAAGGCAAGGAGAGGAGCCTATGTGATTGGTGAAAACAGGTCTCGGCTGTGTTAAACCCACTACACGCCCTTTCTCTTCCCCGTCTACGACTTATGGTGCTGGGAGGAGCTGAGTTAGGGAGGGGGGATACTTACGCCGGGCTGCGCGGCTCACCAAAATACCAAAATGTGCTTGGGAACGCCTTGTCAGCGCGGCGGATCTGACTGACGCTGCGCTTGCGGCACGTCTCCGGCGAGGCACCAAAATAGAGCCCTTCAAGTTTTATTCAGGGATAAGACCAGAAACAGGTTACAGGCAGGCTGTGTGACCAGCACCACAGACAGATGTTAACAGGTGCCTTAAATACTCTGTGGATGATTGTCCTGCCCAGGCCGATCCACATGTAGGTGTCTCTCCAAGATTAGCTCTGCTCCATAACAACTTGAACACCATTTAACAATCACCATTTACCTGTATCCTTCCTATAAACTACAAATCTCTTTAGAAAGTTTTCCATACTTTAACCTTACACCTATTTATAGCAAATACAATTTTAGATCCCAAAACCTGAACTCCCCACATTACACACCTACATTACCTGCACACATTTTTTAGAACACTTTGTTTTCCAATAATTAATGTTATTAGACCGTATTGCTGAGCTCTCTCACTCTCCTCTCTTACAGGCAGAGCAGCGCTCCAGAGCCAGCCCCTGCCCAACAGCCACACATTAATAATGGGTTACTTTCACGACATCAGCTAATAATTCCTCACTCCACAATGTTCACATGACTTGTGCAAATATGCAATGTGCAAATGTAATGTGCAAATTTCGCTAATAAAGTGCAAAGTGCTATAAAAGTGCTAAGTGTTATTAATCATTTGTCAGTACAATTAAAAGTGCATCCCCACTGTGCAATATTTACATGGCAAAAAGCCATCCGTCACTAGTAATGAAGGATCTTTGTTACACCCCCAAAGACGTTAGTGTCCGAGAGCTGAACAGCTCCTATGTTACCTGCCACTTCAATCAATCAATCAATCAATCAAATTTTATTTATAAAGTGCCAGTTCACAACAGTCGTCATCTCAAAACGCTTTTCAAAGAACAAGAGCAAGTCTAGACCACGCTCATTGTTTGATGATCAAGAACCAACCTAAGATGGGTTTTGGCCCATCTCAACTAACATGAGTAGCAGTGACAAGGAAAAACTTCCTTTTAACAGGCAGAAACCTTGGGCAGGACCCGACTCATGCCAGACAGCCACCATGCCGCTGCCGGGTTGGGGAGGAATGTAGAGAGATGGAGGGAGAGAGAGGAGAGAGAGAGAGAGAAGAGGGCAGGGGGAGAGAGAGAGAACAACACTTCTGCTTCACCGGCAATGTTAGGCTACAAGCTAGCATAAAGAGGAGTGTGCAGAGCAGCGCTGTCTCCGCCCACCACTCAGAGGTGAATTGCGAATGAGCTACTGGAGCTCTGCAAAAGAAAAGCATTTGAAAATGACACTGATAATATGAGATTGGCTAAAAACTCCCTAAACACAATTTAAAGACCACTGAGACCACTTTAAGTAGTAAAAAAAAAAAAAAAAATACAATCAGAGTAGGACTTTAACGAGAAATCCGAATAGCCCAATATTGCCAGAAGACAGTCAGGATCTAATTGCCTGTAATACATTGTGCTGTATGTACTAAATATATCACACCAAAAACTCCTAAGCTTGGGACAGCACCAGAAAAGCTAACCAAGGGTCCCATCATTTTACTTGCACCTTTTACAGGTGGGGGAGACTGAAGGGAAGATCCTGTTCAGTTTCGTTTTAGAAAAGTCTAATCTGTGGGTGACCTTGAACTGGATTAGTCAAAGTCTTACATTAAAGAAACAAGATTTAATACTCTCTAATGCTTCTGCCCATAGTTCTTCTGAATGTCCTCCCCAGAACTTGCAACTAATTCCTCCTTAATGTGGACGGAAGAGGATGCCATGGAAAAAAGTTCAACAAATTGTAAAATCAAGTGTTTGGAGAAAGGGGATCAAGTAATAAGTAAAAGTAGTGCTGGGTGGATATGGTTACAAAGTGTGGAATAGTTTACGAATATACATTTACATTTATGTTTATAACTTGCAGTTCTAAAACGTCATGCCAATTAAACTTCCTGGCTACCATGTCTATATGACCTTTATCAAACTTGGTCCCAAACCCATCATGACTGCATGCTTTACCATAAGAAAAAGAGCAGATTGCAGCTTTAATTTCAGCTTTTGGATTTTGGAGTCTTCAAGAAAACCATGACCTGGATGAATGAGAATCTACATGTTCACTTAGAACTGGAAAGTCAAGTGGGTTAAGAAATTATCAATTTCCAAATCAGTAGCCTTCGATTTGGAGGTGTATAACTGAGTGTAAAAACTGAAGAAAAAAAAGATCATTTATTGATTAATTTTGGATCAGTTATCAGCTGACCTGTGGGGGAAGTAAGTTGATGTATTGCCCTATCCACCTGTGCACCTCTTAGCTGCCTGGCAAGCAATGTATGTGGCTTATTGCTGGCTCAAAATGCTTTTGTTGGAGCTTAAGGATATAGTTAGCTACCTGCTATATCAAGGATATGACTATACTCAAAACTTAAGGTCAAAATAGCTCAGAGAGTGTCACCAGAATTTAAGTCAGGATAAGTTTCCTGAAGATATCTGTGCCTAAATGTCTGTTGGTCACTTTCGCCTGGCTTTTTTGCTAAATGACTAGTACGAGATGATGCGGCCTCACATCACAACTTTGAAGGACTCCTAAAGCATTGAGTCAGAAACAACACCATTATCATTAATAAGCATAACTGAGAAATATTGGCTGATAGAAAGTCACTAAAAGACTTGTCTAAGTTTGGGGACGTTATAATAAGAATCTCAAAAATTAAAATGACTTTTCATTGAGAGTGGTTGAGAGCATGATCAGACCTGTGATATCCATACTGACCTCAAATGTCCCTGCTTTGATGGATGAATGTGGGTTTCCTGCAGATGACAAAGTCTTTAAATGTGTAAGTATTTTCCTCCTCTTCAGTGCCTTGCCAAGACCTTTAATGTTATAGGATTCATGCCGGTCTGGTCTGGCCATAGACTGTATATAAGATGGACAGAGTCTGCCTCCTCGCTGGGTGAAGCCACTCCGAGAACAGCACCCTCTGATGGTGGGCTGCAGTACAGGTCATAAATCCCGCCTCCGCCAGCAAAGCTTATGGGACTGTGGACAAACTTTAGAAATTTATTACACAGAACATACATTTTTCTCCCCCCTGGTTGTGATGTTGACATGTAGTTATTGTAAGACTGGTTTGTGCTCAAGTCTTTTTTTTTCTGTGAAGCTCCGTTTTTAAAAGTTATTAGGGGGTTCATGTTTTCTATGATTGACACCTGGTACAGCCTATGGGCGTTCAGGGATTGCGTAGCTCTCCCGGGGGGATACGCTGTTTGAGCCGAGCGTCATCACAGGGACTCTCGGCGACTGCGCGGCCGAATGCGCGCATCGCTACTGCGCAGCTCTGGTTTTAAGGAAGTGGAGAAAAACCTGGAATTACCAAGAGCTTTTTGGCTTCAAATCCATATACAGGTGGAAGGCAGAACCAGGTTGTCTATCTTATATACAGTCTATGGGTCTGGCCCATGATGTAATTATCTTTGGCCCGCATGATATATCTGAAAATCTGATCACTATTAGAGCTGGCCCGCATGAACTGCTAATACACTACAAATCCCTTAATTCACTGCCAACGTCTTTGCGCGTTATTCAAGAGCCCGTGAGTCATCATTATAAAACAGTGCAGCTTATCAGTGCTCTCTGCTGCTCTGCCCCTCCGCTTAGTTCTAAGCAAAACCACTGACACGATGCAAGCATGCATTGGCGGCCGATATACGAGGGTGCTGCGGGAAGAACCCTGCCTGAGCTGCGTGAGCAAAAAGAGATGTCTGCTGTCCCCCTGAAAATTATTCTCAAAGTAAGGAAATGCTGCTATTATATGAATCATTCCATTAAATGTGTATTTCAGTCCGTTAGCTATCTCTCTACCCAGTGCCGGGGCGGACTCAGAACGTCTGTTGTCTCACGCATGCTCAGATCACAGTTGTGTATTAGCTTCAGGGCGATACAGGCCAGCACCCAAGCTTTCTGCTCCCTCACGCATGCTCAGATCACAGTTCTTCATTAAAAAGTTAGCTTATCTTAGCCAAATAAAAAAAAATCCTTAAGGGGCGCCAGGGACGAGCACCTAAGCATCCCTAATATGAATGACATAAGCACGTTCATAACCAGATTGGTCACAAACGGACGCATAGCTACAATGTGTGTCAGACGTAGCTAGCTGCTCTACTCGGAGCTGGTCCGCCCCTCACTCTGCACTTGGCTGCTAATGACAGAGGACGTGGGAATGGCTTCTGCAAACCCCCTAGCGAGTGATTTACCGGAGAACACTGCGCTGTCCATCAAGGAGGTCCCGTTTGAGAACTCTGCAGGACTAACTAAAGCTAAAAGAGTTTGGTCCAGATTGACCAGACGTTGCCGCCCAGCGAGTGACCACCGTGAAGAGCAGACAATATACGTGGACATTTTCAAGAGCATAGTATAGGTGCAAAGCATGGCTAACTGGAAGTCTGAAGAGTAAGGCCCTTTTCTGTTTCCCTTGTAAATTAATGGTGACAAAAAGAAATTATAAAGCTCTCAAAATAAAATTTCGGCTACTGAAAAAGTCAATCAGCAATTTTTTTTTGTAGAAAAGTAGAGTATATAAAGATTAAAACCTAATATAAACCATAAATTTATTATAGTGTGACACTAAATAAAAGCCAGACTAAAAAGAAAGCTAACAGACAGGTCTCTATTTTTGTGCCTGGCCGGCGACGTGATGCAGGCGCGGTGTAAGTCAGGTCCACCGTGCCGACAAGGTGTTCCCAAGCAAAATTTGGTATTTTGGTGAGCGGCGCAGCCCAGCACAAGTACCCCCCCCCCCCCCCCCCAACTCAGCTCCTCCCAGCGGCGTAAGTCGTAGGGAGGGAGGAGAGAGGGCGTGGAGTGGGTTTAACACAGCCGAGACCTGTATTGACCAATAACATCAGCTCCTCTCCTCGCCTTTAAATCCACCACCGGCGAGGTGTATTACAATGTTCGTGAAGTAGTCAAAGAGATCAAAAGATGTCTAAAGACAGCAATGCCACATGATGGCGACAGAAGGCAGCTCCTCAACAAGTGTCACTGAAAGCGGTGCAGAGGGCGTCCTCCACACTCTCTCATATAAGCACAGATGGATTTGGTGTGTGTAATGTCGGACCCACTGGTAAGACAAACACCCTTTTCCACAAATAAAGACACTCAGATAAAGTTGCATATATTTAAACCTCATGTGACAAGGATCACAACATAAATTCCAATAATGGCATTAAAATCGGAACCATCTGTGCGTAAATGACACATCGCGCTCCGTGGCCTGGCTCTTTTTTTAATAGATGTTGGCAAATAAAATAAATTTGGCTTACAAAACTGAATATTATAATTTTCATATGTAGGCTTAAAGTAAATAACTCATCTGATCACTGAAACAAATCATCTGTTCAGCCGCCGCAGCTGCAGCAGGACGGGGAGAGGACACGGAGACATGTCCAGGTTGAGCTGTGTGAGAAATAAGAGGAAGAGGGAGAAAGAAAAGGAGAGAGATGAATTACATATCTCGTTAACTTCATCGTGTGTTTATTTAATGTTGTTTCAGCTGTGTTGATTCGGTCAGGTTGAGTGTCCAAACGCATGCCAAATGCGCTCATCAGATCAGATATAGATCAGAATATATCCATATAGATCTAAATGTATGTGCTGACTCAGATTATTAGTTGTTGATTATTTATTGTACTGAAATGTGCCTGACACTGTGGAAACCTGCCAGTGAGGCATCAGTGACGTATGCACACTACGCCGCCGGTCTACTGAAATACCACTAGACCAGCTGCGCTGAAAGCTGACCAGG